AGGGCACCGTCGCCCTCCGTGCACACGGGCAGACACCGAGGCGCGCGCGCCCGGGCGTTGGGTCTTGGCTGTCGTCGCTGCTGCGTTCTGTATATCGGGAAATGGTAGGCAGGCGCTCAATACACGTTTGCAGAACAAATGAAAAAAATGACCTTTCATATGGGCTGTAGTTATGAATACTCATAACTATGTATGGAGTTAATTAACCCTATGAGGTAGGTACTATTTTTATCCAGTTATGCAGATTTAAAAAAAAATGTTTCCCTTATACCTCTCTGTGGTATTAACTTGTAGCCTGTCATATCTGTCAGACAATATTTATTTATGGCTAAAGGATGCCACCCTTTCTCCAGTCACCCAGGAGAAAGCGCTCACCCCAAAGCTCTGTATCCAGCCAAGCCCGCGCCCACCTTCCAGCAACTACCCGGACACAGGAGGCAAATTCATGGTGCTGGAGGCCCTAGCGCGCCCAGGCGGGCTGCGCCCGGACTGCATTTCGTTTGCAGCTCCCTCGGAGGGCTCGGAGAGCGCAGCGCTATTCTGACATCCAAGTTCCGCGAAGTCATGGCCCCATTGCTGTTGAAACCCTGTGTCCTTTTCCCCCCGAGGTGGCGGCTGGGCTGTGCCCGGCATTGAGACCTGGGAAGTGCCCCCCGGCTCCCACGTTTTCTGCTCACCGAAATACTGGACGCATCTCCTTAGCTTACGCTGCTTTATCACAGTCCTTTTAACAGCGTTTCAGAAAAACACGTGTAATTTTAACCTGTGAAAATTAGAGTAGGACCTTCCCCCAGGGCTTGCGTGAAGAATACGAGATATAATGCCGGTTACAGAAACGTTGTGAACTTTTACGAAATGATATTATGATTGCTGTATTAAATTCTAAAGAAATTCTATTTGGCCTCAGCTGACTTTGTAATATTAACTGACAAGTTTCAATGTTTCACAAGGTGTTTTTATACACATTTTCTTTGATATTCACGGAGGTTAGTAGGTGTATTGAATGATAGAACAGACAGATCCACTTCAAATACGGGGTACATTTGTTTAACTTCTCTAAACCTCAGCTTTTTAGTCTACGAGATGAAGATAAGGGGAGTTGTGCGGATTAAATAAAATGCTCATGTAAGTGCTTAGTTCAAATATTAGCTCAGTGGTGTTAAATGACCTGCTCACTCTGCATGGATGGTTGATTTAAGTGTAGGAGCAGAACAGACAAAATTTATGTTCATAGTTGACAACTTTGTGGTCGTGTTCCCTCTGACACGATGGCTGGACCTATTTATTTCAATCCTGTCTATGTTTTGTGTTCATATAGTGTTATGTGATCAAGCAATAAAACTGTCATTGCATTTAGCAGTGAATGGACATGACTAGCACTTAGTTACAGTTCACTGTCTGCTGCTGCTCCTCCTTCTCCCATACCACACAGTTGCAAAGGTTTATATACTCTTTCTGCATATCTTTATTATCTGCCTATTATGTAAGCAGCCTTATTGCATATAGCTAGGTGAAGTCTCCCCAGGATTTGACTAATCTGATTAAATTAAAACAGTTCAGAAGAGTTCTCAAGCACTAGAATGCATTTCTCAAGTGACAGATTCCTGACATCTTGGTTTTGCATCTATTAACCTCCTCATGTGTTTTATGCTCATGTCACATAAGGTCTTCCTGGACAAGTCTTGCTTCAGGAGGATCATGGGGATGAGCCTAAATTAGAGGGACGACTCCAAAGGAAGGAGGAGAGAGGGTCGAGGAACCACAAAGAAAGGGCTTGACCTCGACCCGGCATCTTGCCGGCTCACCAGCGTTAACTGAGCACTGTGCAGCATCCTTTAGCCATAAATAAATATTGTCTGACAGATAAGTGACAGGCTACAAGTTAATACCACAGAGAGGTATAAGGGAAACATTTTTTTAAAAATCTGCATAACTGGATAAAAATAGTACCTACCTCATAGGGTTAATTAACTCCATACATAGTTATGAGTATTCATTTTGTCCCAGGCATTTAGGCACTGTGGGTACAGCAGCGAATAAACATCCAAATATTCTCACCTGGGAGGCAGACAAGAAGCAAATAAATAATTTAAATATATATTATGTCAACAAGTGATAAGTGCAATGGAGAAAAATATAGCAGGGGAAGGTAATAGGAAGACTGGAAATATGGGTGAGCAATTTGAAACAGAGCCATTTGAGAAGGTAGCATTTAAACAAAGACCTGACGGGGGCTATGGGGCCAGTCAGGGGAAGATCATGATGAGAGAAGCCCTATAGGAGGGAAAGAACAGCAAACACAAAGGTCCTGTAGCAGAAGCATCCCTTTGTGTTGAAGAAACAGCAAAGACAAGTAGAAGAAAGACGTATCAAGAAGACACCTCCCCAGTGCCACTCTGCATCAACCTAGATGGCACGTGACGGTGTAGCAGTTTTTGTTTTCTACTGCGATACTATGTTTATGTTTTTTGAAAATGAAATGCCCAACACACTCTAACAAAGATTTTATATGTTTCTGGACAAAGTTTAGCATGGTTTAAGGGGTTCCTGGAATTCAAATCTTCAAAGAATAAGGGGGAGTACAGAGGTGGGGAGGCAGAGGGGGTGGAACATGAGTAATACAGTAAAATGACCTGAGAGTCACAGCTAGGGACTTTTGTAGAGAAAGGAGAGGGAAGGTTTTGAAAGGGAAGGAGGACACTTGCTCCACTCCCAGAAGGAGTAAACGCAGTCACACTGGACAGGGTTACAGGGAGTAATGTTCTCCCAGGAGGGCCAGGATTCCAGTAGACCCCTGAGAGGAATCCTTGTCAACCCTGGCTCTGTGTAGTAATTACCCAGGGAGCTTTAAAGATGCTGGAGCTGGAGTCCCACCCTCAGTGATTCTGATTAATTGCTTTGGGGTGTGGCCCAAGTTATCAGCAGATAGGACAGCTAGCTCCCCAGGTGATTTTAAGGTACAGCCATTGTTGGAAACCACTGCCTTGTTAGCAAGAAGGTGAGGGGACCTTTCTGGGACATTTGAGGTGTTGAGAGACATACATAAAATGATACCTTTAAGATACTAACACAGTTTCAGATACATAATCAGAGATTGTCTTCCTTTTTCAGACTCCAATGCTTAAATACTGGCCTAAGAAGGTGACATTTTTTTCTGCAGGAAGGGATCTTGGGTGACATTTGTTCTGTAGGATGGGATCAACATTAAATGGATAAGAACAGCTCAGCAGAATTCTTTATTCCATCAGATGATATCTTTATAGAAACCCTCCATCTTTCCATGGTCATTCCAGAGTTATGTCTAGAAATTAGCCTTTCCTTATCTTCGTTCATGCTTTAAAAATGAGTCTATAGATGAGGGCAAAGTAAGTAGAAGATTCATTCCCTCCTCATAATTAGTTTGAGAATCAAGTAGATTTGTCTGCATAACTAGCCAGAAAATTGGACCTATATTCCAGTTTTTTGGGGGATGAATAAGCAAAGCATGAACTTAGGATAATAAAAGTGACAGATGACCCTAAGTATTACATGACTCTATGATTAGGGAACAAGCTAATATTTTTCCCTATACTTCTCTTATCTGTTATTAATAGAAGTTATAGTCTCAATCTCCAGCTAAAAGAGAAACAATTAAACAAGAGTTCCAAGAAATTCATAAAGACACATAGATCTTTTCAGAGCTAATATTTAAACCACTTAAGTAACTAGAAAAAGAAATGATCAGACAAATTACATCATCAGCTTCTCATTATATGTCTTCAATAGCATAGTAAAACTGTTTATATTTCTAAACAGAACTTTTTGGAAAATTCTCTATTGGCATACCTCATCTTATTGCACTTTGCCTTATTGCACTTCACAGATATTGCTTTTTTTTGCCTTTTTTTTCCTTTACAAATTGAAGGCGAGACCATTTACCCTATGACTCACTTTATTGCTACACTTTCTTTTTTTGTGGTGGTCTAGAACCAAACCCACAATATCTCCAAGGTATGCCCATATTATGTTTATTTTGAAAAAGTTATTTATAAAATTTTATTGCTTGCAAAATAGTGTTTAGAATAATTTAAATGAATACTCAAGGGGAAATGTGCAAGTAAAAAATAAATTCTTTTAAAAAGTAGAGCAGTTAGGTCTGCTCACATTTCTTAACCAAGGGAGCTATACATTTCAAATTTCCCGTCCCAGGAAGGTATATATTGACTAATATGTTAGTCTGACCGCTGCAGAGGATACTATAAGCCAGCACTAGAGCAGTGCCCCCCCCCCGCCCCCCGCCAAAAAAGGATAACTATATTTGAAGTTTCTAACTATTTTCAATAAACCTTTAAATTTGGAATAGTTTTAGATTTATGGAAAAGTTGCAGAAATAGTACACAGTGCTCCTGTGTTCCCCTCCACCTGGTTTCCCCATGGGTAACATATTTCGTTACTGTGGTACATTTACCCACACTAAAAAACTGACATTGGTGCATCACTAAGAACTAAACTCCAAACTTTGTTTTGGATTTCATTGGCTTTTCCATTACTGTTCTCTGCTTCAGGATCCAATGCAGGGTCCCACATTGCATTTAGTTGTCGTGTCTCCCAGTCTCTTCTGGTCTGTGACAGCTTCTCAGCCTTGCCTTGGTTTTCATGACTTTGGCAATCGTGAGGCGTACCGGCCAGGTATCCTGAAGAATGTTTTTCCAACCTGGGTTTGTCTGATGTTTTTCTCACGATTACACTGGGGCTCTGGGATTTTTGAAAGATGATCGCAGAGATGAAGTGTCCCTCTGGTCATATCATCTAACTATTTTAAAGTCACTAAGTTTGAACTAGATAAACTCTAAACCCTTTCCAGTTCTAAAATGCAATGATTATATCTTTTATAGAGCCTGCTATTTTTCAAAGTAAAGATATATATTCCAGTTTTGTAAGTTTTGGTCCATAATTTCAATCGGCGATAAGCAGGCAGGAAATACTGCATAACCAACACATCAACTGCAGAAGATTCACTTCATACTTTTGTCACAAGCCATGTGCTTCATATGGATCTCTAGTGTTTACAGGTTTATGACAGATTTGACCAGTCCACTAACTATCCCTATCCTCAGCTAAACTTACCCACTGGAGGTAAAGATATCAGTAGGACAAGCATATTTTTAAGTAAAAGAAAACAAATTTAAAAAAGTTAAAAACTAGAAATGA